GCTGTGCTACTGGGGGGCTATACCTTTTGAAATTGTAATTCTCGAAAGTTGTAAAATGAAAAACTATTGTTTGTTTGTTTGATTTTTGAATTTCGTGCAAAGCTACACGAGAGCTATCTGCGCTAGCCGTCCCTAATTTAGCAGTGTAAGACTAGAGGGAAGGCAGCTAGTCAGCTCCGCCCACTGCCAATTCTTGGGCTACTCTTTTACCAACGAATAGTGGGATTGATCATCACATTATAACGCCCGCACAGCTAAAAGGGCGAGGATGTTTGATGGGACGGGAATTCTATCCCACGACCCGCAGATTGTATGAAAAACTATGTTATGAACTTTACAAAATATGGAATTCTATATCTGGCTGTATATGTACAATTATTCGTGTGAAAAGCGCCATCTTTTGAGCCTATTTAAACGTAGAAACATGCTGTTTCACACTCACACTAAATACACTATCAAATTTTTACACCAAGTTTACACTGAAGTAATTCTGAAAGAGTAAATCATTCAAATCATAGTTTATATAACATCATTGATTATTTTGTTTGTTGACTAGAAAGTCACATAAATACAGATATTTGCTTTTAATTAAGCATTAACACAACGAAATAGTGTAGGAGCGAGAATAAAAAATATTTGAAGATACTTTATTAAAGTAAAACGTAAAATTAAAACGAGACATAAAACACCAATTTCATATATTGTTTTCCAGTTTCATAGGGTATTTTTTGCCACTTTTTATCCTGTACAGTAACTTATTGTATTTTAGTAATTTGGAGACTGGAAACAATTTCATTTTTATAGAATTGTGTATAAAATAACCGTTTTTTTTAAATTGTGAGTTTTTAAGATTGAATGTTACACACGTGCCAAAAAAGACCAAAACGTGCACTTAAAATGCCTACAACAAGGCCCCCCCCAGTGGCACAGCGGTATGTCTGCGGACTAACAACGCTAGAATCCAGGTTTCGATACCCGTGGCGAGCAGAGCACAGATAGCCCATTGTATAGCTTTGTGCTTAGTTACAAGCAAACTACAACAGGGAACAGATGTAAAAATAAAATAAACATCAAACTCTCGGTTTTATTAGATCTTCCTCAGCTTAATGTTTAGTTTTAATTAATATTTATGTGTGTGTGTGTGTGTTGCATCCATTTGATACAGGCATACCGTATGTTTTCTACCTGCTTTATTAATGCATGAATGTTTTTACATTTTTCGTTTATTTAGTGTGTATTCGTTTTTAGCATAAACACGTTATCCAGAAATTTATTGAGACTGCCTTGTTCTAGTTGACTTGTTTCTTTGTTCGCTAAAGTAGTTCACGGTTTTCTTGGTTTCGTGTCATAATATCGATGATTTGTGGCCAACTTTTGAAGATATCAGCACCATTGTAGGCTCTCATGAAATTAAAAGTGTACTTTGTATGGAACAAGGAACGTGATCAGGCATTCCTATCCCTAAAGCTTGATTTAGTTAGTTGCTCTACGGCTGACCTGTCCACGCCAAAACTATGAGTTTCTTCTGAAGAATGATTCCAGCAAAAATGGAGTCAGAGCAATGTTATCGCAGTTGCAGGTGAAAGGTGTAATCGCGTATGTTAGTCATACACTCACAGCTCTCGAACGTACATATTGTATGACGAAAAAAAAAAAACTTCTTGGAGTGGTTGTCTTTGTGAAAGTTCACCATCCGGGCTGACTACACGGATAGCACATTAGATAACAATGTTGCAAAAATATGACTTTGTCATAATTCGTCGCTTGCATTTGCAACATGTAAATACATATGGACTGTCTTGCCGCATAGTGAAACTGTATCTGTTCGTGGAATATCCTGACTCTGGACACCAGTTCAAACCATGGACCTTTCAGCCATAATAAAAGCGACCATGAAGTAAAAGACTCCACTGAAAAATGAGTTACTGAAGGACCCTGGCCTAGCATGGGTACTTCTTGCTCTCCAGCAAGATCAATCCCAACAACATTAATTGAGGAGATTGGCATAGATGTATATAACCTGCGGCACTTGTACGAGCAGTTACAAGAGCAAGAAGTTGTGATGTAACATTGTTATCAACTCGTGAGGCATGGTGCTTTGACAGTGCTACAGTTATTGGTCCCCATAGCTGTGTGGCAAGAAATACTCCAGTAATCCACACTTGTACTAATATTTTAAGGTGTTCTTCTAGCCACGAGTGAATCGAGATGTTCAGCGTTGGTGCGAGCATTGTATGATGTGTACAGTCCAGAGTAAAAACAATCAGTAACAAGGTGAACTCCAACAGGTCCCCTCCACAAAGAATAACCCTGGATATTGGTTGTCCACTTTCGGAAACTGTGTTAAGTCATTACTGTCAACAACTTCATGAAATGGGCTGAAGCTTATCTATTGGCTGGTATACTAACAATGACCACCACAAAGGTGTTAGCTGAGAACTGGCTAACCTGATTCGAGCCTCAGAAAATATCCGCAATGACCAAGAAGGTAACTTGAACAGCTAAATGTTTGCTAAGTAGTGGTGAGGACTTGTACTTCACCTTATCATCCCCTGTCTGATGGTTTGAGAGAATGGGTAATTTTAACTACGAAGTGCACAGTTTATTAATCCTTATAGAGCCCAATGGGATGTACAATGGCCATATATGATGATTGCACATTGAGCTACAGAGCAGGGGTCAGCAGGCTGTTCTCTAAACATGCTCATGTTTGGACAGGAAGTGTAGATGTGATGTATGATCCTCTACCACAAAAGATTCTCCAATGTCTCCAAGTGTGTGTAGAGTGGCTAAGACCAACAATGGTTGATACAAGTGAATTTGTCTGACAACAACTAGTAAATGCAACCTGTTGACAGAAGAAGTGCTTTTATTTGATGGTGAAATAACAGATGTTCTAATGCTGTGATTTGATGTAGTTATATTACATTAAGTAACTTGGATCTAGCTGGGTTGGGCCAATACTAATACTCCAACAAGTACAAATACACAGTGGCTAAAACATTCGTGAAAGTAAATGGAACACATTGATAAACTGTGTCCATATGTCACACATGAGTCTTTGGTGCATTGGCTTGGCTACAATTTGAAGAGGAAACTGATGAGCCATAGGAGGACAAGGACACCTATTTGATGCATCTCAATCCACCTGACAAAGGCTGTGGACACTTATCTGGCAGCTTCTGATGAACCACATGAGGAGTCACTAGAAATGGAAGCAACTACCAGCTACAACCAGTAGATGAACTACCAAGGTCGGCCTCCCAATCGATATGGGTGGGATTGACTTTGATCATCAAAGCTAGGATTTTCAGCAGCTGGAAGTGTACTGACCAATAGGACATCATGCCCCTTGCTATCTCAACCATCATGTAGTATTGAAATAGTGTGTGCATTAAATCATACAATTACTACTCGATATTTTAAGCTAAGACAGTCATTAATTCGTGGAATTCGTGATTGAAAGGAAAGAATATAACTGACAATCTAACTGAATGAAGAGAGTTATACTGAACATACCACCCAGTACTCTCTAGATTCTTCAGCGATCTTCGTAGAAATTGTGCCACATATACAATTAGTAAAGAAGCCCAGCCTCTTCTGAGTATTTCTTAGAGTACAGTAGTAACAGCATAAATTTTCATCTTGGTAAAAAGACATTTGTTTCAAAAGTCTTGATTCAAATGAATTTTTCCAATGATTATTTCATATTCTAAAGCCTGAAATATAAATTATCAGAGTTTGACGACCCCTAGATGGCACTAACCTCACTCTCAAGTGCAGCTTCGCCAGGTAACTCGAACACCATTGTATAAACTACTCTAATGCGTATCGAAGCGTAATGTCGGAATAGGCATATATGAAAGTAAGTGTACATAAACAAACACGCGTGTGTGGAATCACGTGAATTTTGTAGCATTACACTGAGTTCTTCGTAAATATTTTAAACAAATTAAAACAAGTGAAGCAAATACTCCGAAAGAATGGTAATAAATAATGAGATAAGAAGAAAAAAATGAGAACATGGAGACAAAGTATTTGAATCTTGACGTCAAGAATTTATGAATATGGGGTTAACTGATGAAAAACATGGAAAATTTTGTTGGAAAATACAATGTACAAGTCTTTCATTAATTCTGAAAAAGAACATTTAAATTTTAAAGTTGATATTTTCTACAGGTGGTGAAATGTTCAAGAAAGAAACCATAGTGTCAAAGAGATTTATATGGTGAGAGAGAAAGAAAACACAGTTTTACCTGGTAGTTCTAACATAATTATACCTAGTGTTTCTCAAAAGAATAATGCAAAAATATTTTAGCTTGATTGAGTTGAAATTGAGAGAAATTGTCAGTAGTATATAACATTCACAGATAATGGCTATCATAAATATATACAAATGATGTACCCAGTGTTTTATTTAGCTGTGAGAGAAATGTTTTCAATCATACAGATTGGAAATATTCTTTAATGAGCAAACAGTTTGACTGAAGACTTTCTTAACCCTAGAATGACAGCATTAAGTTTTCAGTCATTAACACCAGGTGGGATGGGGTCATAGCAACTCCATGCTGGCATTCTGGGGTTAATGTTATTTCATTACAAAATATAGTCTGAATCATGAAAATACAAACTAAGTGTAATAGGGGGAGAAAGAAGGTACCAATCATACACGAAAACCTAGTAATTCATGTCACAACTGTTGCACAATTTATAAATGGAAGAAAGTCTTAAGGATAAACAATGAATGCGTTGGCAAAGGCTAAATGGTCAAAGGTGAGATTAATGTCACCTAATCCAAGCCAGCTCAACTGAGTAGTACTCAAGCAGTCTCGACATCCTTTCCTTTCTACTGGGACTGGGCTCTGTCTAAATCACAATCAGATGGTAGGGTAGAGATGAGGCTGGGTTGAAGAGTTTGACATGCATGTTCCTCTTGGCCAGAAGGGGCAACAGAGGGCAGCATGGTCATAAGTAGCACTGGTCAAATAAAAACCCAGGAAAGTTAGGGGATCAGGAAGTCCTCATGTTTCTTGAGCAAATGTTTTATGGGCGAGGATGAGTGTGAGTGTACATTAAGCTTATAGACACATTGCTGAACCTATACACTTGGTTGAACCTTTTAGTCAACTTGAACTCAATCAACTTTTTCGTTTGAATTCATATTTTAAATATTTAAAGTCTGGTTTTTAGCTATAGTGGTTTTCCTTTCTTGTTCCTGCTATTATAAGCCTTCCCTGTTTGATTACTGAGATGGACTCTTCAAGTTCTTTCAGCTATGAAACTGCCAAGCTCCTGCAGGACATTTAGGACTTCTTATTGAGCAAGAGAGCCCACAATGTCACTGAAAATGGAACATTCAAGCCTGGCCTGACTTACATGGCACCCAAGCTCATGGACGAAGATGCATTGTTAGTCAATCATTTGACATGAGAGAGCTCCTATCATCTATAGTCTGGTTAGCATTGCAGTTTCCAGGGGCTGTATTACCACCGTCAACAGCAAAGAGTCTCATCAGTGCTGAGGAGAGCAGGTTCCTGCAAACAACGACCAAACAATGGCTTCAGGCTGCACAACAGCCTTTGCAACTTCTGAAACCACCCTAAAGGAGAAGATGAAGCCTGAAGAATAATGGGTCCATTGACCTTTTCCATCAGAGGATGTGTCATTACCTTTAAATAGAAGATGGTGTCAGATGTGCTCACACCTCTAAAGGGACCATCATGTTCCAAAGCTAAAAAAAAAAGAAAAGAAATTATTGTCACTAGGTGCATCCAGAGGGGTGGCAAAGTTCCTAAAAAGTAGAGGCAGGGCAGGTTCCAGATTAGAAGCTTACAACAACAGCTATCCAGATGAACCAGCTGATTCATGGAACAGCTCCAGCCAACAATGAGGATGCATTTATGTCAAGGGCCAGGGCACTGACCTCTAGCTCAAGTAGGACCTACACTGTTTTCATGAGTGAGGAAACACCCAAGAAGAGATGCTGGGTCTCATTTCAGAGGACAGTGAGTGTATGGCTCTCAAAAAAATAACAAAAACACACATCATCCAACACTCCAGCATATTTCAGTGCTGAAAAGGCACTGTCAGAATATGGCCGCCAAATGGACAGAAGCATGGGTCCTGTATAACAGGGAGGAAGAATGGCTGAGGCAGAAGGGATACAAGAAGGAGGTGAGGCACCTGCATGTCAGGCTTGTTAACACCAAGGGAGCCCTCAATAAAGCCAAAGATTATCTAAAGAAGTCAACAGCAGCCTAGAGAATATGCTGGTGTGAATAAGATGAGTGGGAGTGATACTTTGAATGGTAAGTGTACATTTCAGATATAGATTTGAACTGTTTTGATTGACTTTGTATTTTAATTTAAACTACCCTCTTCCTTTCAACCATTGAGTGTAGGTGAAAAATTGGGCTTCAAAGTTTTTAGAGTATTTTCTAAGTGCATGTATGTATATATTTATGTTGTTGTTTTTTGTAATAACAATGACCAAATGGGCAGAAGAATGGGTCCCGTAAAACAGGGAGGAAGAGCGGCTGAAGCAGAGGGTAACCTGTTTGACATGATACAAGGAGGAGGTATGGCAGCTGCAGGTCAAGCTCTTTCACACATGCAAACATGTATGAAAGCTCAGAATTTAAGTTTTTTCTGTATTTACTTGGACTTTTCTTTCTTTTTTTCCAAAGTATATATCTTATGTATGTTTAACACTTACTCATGCACACAAAAGAGGAACAGTTAGCTTTCATTTTATCTTTTTTTTGTATTTTATGTTAAATTTTAACTCATTTAATTTTCAATATATAGCTACCATTTTTCATGAAGAGGTTTCTTGTTGTTGTTTTTTAATGTGAGCAGACTGACTGTGGCACCTGTTTTTAAGGTTCAATATTAAAGGGCCATAATTCTCCTTTCCAAGATAATTTTGTCTTAAAATTAACATTTATTCAGAAGTTCATTAGATTTTTTCTAGCAAGTTCAGTTATTAGAAAAGCTTACAATTTATACCATCTAATGTTTCTGTGGAAGTACCTTTGATCAGATTCCAATAGAACACATGCAGGAATTGTGTATGGTGTCATTTAATGTCAGAATTTAGAATAACAGTCAGTTATAGTAGTGGGTAACAGATCTAAAATAAAGTTAGTTAAGTTATTTAACACACAACAGTCATTATAGGTCAACTGAGTTTTGGAATGCTACACAAGATGAAAAATTATCATTTAACTTCTGATCAAAGCAACCTACCTACGTAAATTAAAACTTTAAATTAACCTAGTTCTAATTAGATTATGCAAAACCATAAAACAAAAACTTATAACTATTGGAATACATTGATTCTTTAGATGGATACCCTCAATGCCAACAATATGTTTGGCCATAATCTCAATATCTCACGAGGTTGGGGCACAGTAAGAGATTTAGGTTAGTCCCAAATCCAAACACAAAGCTAAAAATGAACAATAATCATAATAATAATAAAAATATGTAAATAAAAACTCATAAATATATATATATATTAAACATTTTAATATAATTAATGAAACTAAGATTATAAAAAGAGTAGAATATAAGTTACGTAACAAAACACAAGTTAGTTGTTTACTTCATGCACATACTAATCTCTGTATCTTGATGAGCATGACACTAATATATGCAAAATGTTATCTAATCCTCCATAAACATGAGTAGTAACTAATGAAAGTCCATTAAAGGGCTCCAGTAGTGTAACTCTATAGTAGCTTAACATCCAAGGTAACTTATTACTACATGTTACTATTTAATGATTGTCGGGTAGCAAGAAACTGATGTTTATAAAATTACTAATAAAATGAATAACGAAATCTCACACAATTAATTCAACTATCCCTCAGTGGACAGTGAGAAGTAATAAAGTTAAACATTAAGAAGTAGCCAAAATGTGTAAAAAAATAATGAAATATGAAAAATATCACAGTACTAATGAGCAATGAAGTACATAGAGGAGTGTTTGGGTAGGTTCAAGTCCCTGTTCTTATGCCCCAAAAGTGCCTTTTTCCCAGTCATAAAAATTGTCAACAATTTACTAAAAGACATGCCTGATTCCAAATTTTGCTTGCTGCAAGTTACTGCAAAGAAAAACAATATATTAGCTTTAAAATGAATGGCAAACAGAGACTTGTAGGTCTTTAGAGTAAAAAAATTATTGTGATATGCTATTAAGTTAAAATGCAATAATTCACTGTTTAGTTTTAGGTCTTAAGTGTTTTTATGACCAACTGAATAGGAATAAAAGTCAGATGTGTTTGCTTCCTATACTTTTTTTACCCTATGTGTAACTGAGGCAACTCACAGTCTCCCTTAACACATTCCCCTCCAACAAAAAAAGACCTGCCTTACAATGCTTGTAAAGTGCTCTTTTCATCATTAAGCCCCTGCTTACTTAATGTCGCTGCTTATAAGATTTAAACAAAAAATAGATAAATATGAAAATTATAGCACTTAACAGGAAGTATTCCAACTAAATTAGTGACATAATGTTTGTTTGTAGTTAAGCTCAAAATTACACTATGGGCTATCTTTCCTTTGCCCACTATGGGTATCAAAACCCAGTTTCTAGTGTTGTAACTCTGCAGAAATACAGCTGTGCCACTATGGGGCAACATAATGTTAAACTATATAATGAACTGTTATAATGTTTGTATTAAATATAGCAAGAGGTAAAACTAATGGTGGTTTCCTTATTAACTCTTTAAACACATAATTTTTTGCATATTTTACCGGAATTATTGTCGTGATGTCCTAATAATTATCACCGTACCTTATAAAATTTCTGGTCTATTTATACAAGGTGGATAATAACCTGGTTTGGATTAGTTTTCAGTCAAAGACATAGATGTTATCAGATGATGTCACTATCTGATGGATAAGTCGGGATTTCAGGCTGGATGCTGGCAGTGTCTGCTCAGATTTAAGGTATATATTAAGGTTGTTAATTAGTAACTTAAAAAGTTAGTTAAGAAGTTAAGGTGCGGACAAGATAGTTGGGCTTCAGAATAAAATAATCTCACAGAATACTTTCAAACAAGTAGAAAGATGACAACCAAGAAAAAATAAACATTATAGAACATAACTAGAAAGTGTAACAAAGATATGATAAGGTACATCTGGAAATTTTAACACTCACACAACTAGCAAATTTACTATATATCCATGACTCCACTGCACTTGGGAACATTTGATTCTAATGGGGGAATTTATTAGCTAGTCCCTGACACACATAGAAATCATAAGTAAACAAAACACAGTTGTAGCCCCAGCACACCGGGTATCACTCAAATGAATCAGTTACTGCCCTACTTTAAAAACTATCCAATTCAAGCAGTTTGATACTCACCTTACAAGATGTCCCTAAAAGGAGCAGTTTGATACTCACCTTACAAGATGTCCCTAAATGAAGCAGTTTGATACTCACCTTACAAGATGTCCCTATATGAAGCAGTTGGATACTTACCTTACAAGATGTCCCTAAAAGGAGCAGTTGGTACTCACCTTACAAGATGTCCCTATATGAAGCAGCTGTAGATTCTTCTTACAAGATCTCACCCAAATGAATCAAGTGGATATTCAACTGACAAGATGTTGCCTAAATAAGGTTATAATATAAATCAGGATAAAGTAAATATGTTTTATTATTAACATTACTTATGTTGTTCTAATAAATTAAGTTCTATATAATTAAAAATAAACTTTATTACTTTAGTGTGAAGACAAAGTAGTGATAAAATTATATAATTGGTTCTTAAACATTAGGCTTAAGTAATAGTGTTAACAATACGCTACTGGTTTTTAGTATTATTTTCACTTTCAGGCTATAACAGTATAAATACAATGGTTAAGACTAGTGTAGGAGTTAAGCATTCACAGTTTGTTAGGCGTAACGGGTGCAAGGAGTGGGTTTTATTTGGGAACTCGCGAAATGGAATGTACTTTTAAGGAAGCTAGTAATGAAGATGTACAATTTTTATGTACAGTTTGTAGGTTGGAGGAAAAGTTAGAGGCAATCATGATTAAAGTAGAGGCAATAGATAAAGAGAAGTGTAGATTGTGGGAAATGGCAGCAGGATTTCAGGAGGAGCTTAAGCTTTTACATGCAAGGAATACATCAGCTAACATTGATTTTACGGACATTAGAAAGAGTACTGTTAGGGCTAAAAGTGGTGAATTTAGTTATAATGATCCTATTCTGTTGAGCAACAAATTTCAGCCCTTGGCTTCTGCAGATGGGGAACTATTGGAAGGAAGGAAAACAAAAGGGTCAGAGAAGGATGTGGATGATAAGGAGGTCATTGTTATAGGTGATTTCTTGATAAGGCATGTGGATAGAATAGTCTGTGGGGTAAACAGGGACAAAAGAATCAGAAAATGCTACCCAGGGGCACAGGTGGAGGATATAACTGACAGAGCAAGAGATATAACAAAGGGTGCTAGCAGAGATGCAGTTTTTGTAGTGCATGTAGGGAAAGATAGGTCAGAGGAGCTAGTTAATAAGTATAAGGGGTTGATAAAGGCACTTAAAGAAAATGGCCATAACTTAATTTTTTCAAGGATACTGCCCAGAATTAACTGTGGGGATGAAGTTATAAGTAGGTTATTAGGGCTAAATGCTAGGCTTAGATTAGTATGTAAGGATGATTGGCTGATTTTACTTGTGGGATCAGTTCAGTGGGAGAAGGGAGCTTTTTGCAATGGATGGTTAACATTTAAATAGAGTAGGGACTGGCTTGTTTGCTAAGGCTATTAACTCAACTGTAGGGGAAGTTCTAATCTAAGACTAGACAGTGGTGAGGGCCAGGAAAAACTGAATTCTAAAAGAATAAGAGACAGAGAAAAGTTTAGCATAGGAAATTAATATAGAAGTAGTTATAAGGATAGGCTTAATTGTTACTATTGTAATGCTAGAAGTATAAGAAATAAAACAGCTGACTTTAGAGCACTGGTAGGAATGGAGGATTTTTATATAATGGGAATAACTGAAACATATTTAAACATAGATGATTTTGATAACAGAATTTTTTTTTGAAATTCAGGGTTACAGCCAATTTAATATGGATAGAGTATTAAAGAAGGGAGGAGGAGTGGCTTTATATGTAAAATGTTAGTTACATTCTTTTGAAGTTGAAGATATCAAAGATAATAGCAAAGAGATTGAATCCATTTGGGTTTCTATTAGGGAATATAAATGGAAAAGGCTTTTAGTGGGAATTTGTTACAAACCATCAAATGATACTGATGAAATTAATGAGAAACTTTACAATGAGATTAAGATTTTAGCTGTTAATGAAGTCATAATTATGGGCGATTTTAATTTCAGGCATATAGATTGGGAAATTCTAGAATTAAACGAAGAGGGAGAAATGTTTTCAGAAACTGTTCAGGATGGCTTTCTTCACCTGTTAGTCAAGGAACCAACTAGAAACAATGCTATTTTAGACTTATTGTTAACTTCAAATACAGAAATGATTGAGAGGGTGGAAACTGGCAAACATCTGGGTGCAAATGATCATTGCTCTATTAGGTTTAATGTTTTGCTGCATATGGAGATAAGGAATAATGATATTTTAGTTACAAATTTTGAAGGGATGCAACAAGAATTATCTGCTGTGAATTGGGCAGCTGAGTTATCTGGAGACACTGATCAGATGTGGAAAATTTTTAAATATTCAAGGTAAACATATTCCTAATAGAAAGAAATAGGTAGCTAGAAGTAAAAAAACCAGGTTGGCTCACAAAGAGTTTAAGAAATAAAATTAAAGAAAAGCATCATAAATTTAAATTGATCAGTATAACAGGAAACTTAGAAGATCAAGAAAGTTGGTGAAACAGGAAATTAGAACATCAAAAAGAATGTATAAGAAAAAGTTGGCTGAAAATGTAAAAATTAACAGTCAGGATTTCTTTAAATACGTTAAGGGGAAACAAAATGTTAGTATAAGATAGGACCCTTGAGGGATGATAAAGGAAGACTAGTATCTGATGATTAGGAGATGGCTGGGTTATTAAATTTTACTTTTATTCAGTTTTTACCAATGAAGATTTAATTCTGAGCTGGTTAATAAAAAATTGGGAAGTTTAAAAAAGGCTCCTGGGCCAGATAATATTTCCCCAAGGGTTTTGAAGAGGGTTAAAGATTGGATATGTGAGCCACTTACTATTTTTGGCAGTCCTTGAATAGTGTGCAGGTACCAGAGGATTAGAAGTTACCTAATGTAACTCCTCTTTTCAAGGGAGGTGATAAAAATTGTCCCAGTAATTATAGACCAATTAATCTTACATCAGTTGTTGGGAAAATTTTGGGATGTCTGTTAAAAGATGCTTTGCAAAGTCATTTAACAAAGTTTACAATTTTATTGGATAGTCAACATGGTTTCACTAAGGGAAGATCTTGCCTTACAAATACTTTAACATTCTTTGAAAGGTTACTGCTTATGTAGATGAAGGTAAGGGTGTAGATTTGGTATATCTGGATTGTCAGAAAGCATTTGACAAGGTGCCACATAAAAGGCTTATAAAACAAATTAGCTCTATAGGTGTGGAGGATAAGTTAGCAAATTGGATAAAAGAGTGGTTGGACGGAAGAAAGCAGAGGGTTGTTACAAGTGGAGTTCAGTCAAACTGGATTAATGTCACAAGTGGAGTACCTCAGGATTCAGTCTTAGGACCTTTGCTCTTTTTGATTTACATCAATGACATAGATGAAGGGATAGTCAATAAATTAAATAAATTTGCAGATGATATTAAGGTCTTGGGTGTTTCTAGCTGTGAAGAGGATTTAGATACTTCGTGAGTTGGGCAAATAAATGCAATATAATGCATGTGGGTTATTATAATTTGAATTATAAGTGTAATTTGGGTGGGAATAACCTTAACAATGTCATGAAAGAAAGGGATCTTGGTGTAATGGTTGATCAGTCTTTTAAGTCACCTAAGCAGTGTGCTGTTGCTAGTGGCAGAGCAAATAGGATTTTAGTTTGTATCTATAGATATACTGAATACAAGTCTAAAGAGGTTATACTTTTATTGTACAGCAGGTCACTGGTTATGCCACATTTGAAATATTGTGTTCAGTCTTAGGCTCCTTACCTTAGGAAGGACATTGAATTGTTGAAAATGGTTCAGAGAAGGGTTACTAGAATAGTGCCTGGGATGGAGGAGTTGTCATACGACGAGAAGCTGAAATCTCTCAAGTTGTTTTCTCTTGAAAAAAGAAGAGTTAGGGAGGATCAGATTGAGGTGTTTAAGATTGTAAAGGGAATTGATAGTGTTGATGTATCACATTTTTTATATTCAACAATGAGAATAGTAGGACTAGAGGACACAAATATAAATTTTGGCAAGGTCAGAGTCATCTTCAGCTAA